CCAGACCAGGTACGGTCTGTACGAGTTTGTGGTACCGCGCATCGATGACTTGCTAGATAGAGTGAAAGGGTGTCAGTACTTCAGTAAGATAGATCGGAAGTCCGGGTACCATCAGATTGCAATCCGGCCCGAGGATCAACACAAAACCGCTTTCCAGACCAGGTACGGTCTGTACGAGTTTGTGGTGATGCCTTTCGGCCTTTGCAATGCTCCTGGCACCTTTCAGCATGCTATGACTCGGATATTTCATGACTACTTGGATAAGTTTGTCACCGTGTACCTCGATGACATACTTATTTTTAGTAAGACTGTCGAGGAGCACGTTGCGCACTTGGACAAAGTTCTGAGTCTTCTGCGACAACACAAGTTCAAGATCAATGGTGAGAAGTGCGAGTTTAGCCGCACCCGTGTCTTGTACTTGGGTCATGAGATTTCCCCGGAGGGATTAAAGCCCGATGACGCAAAGGTGGCCAACATTCGTGATTGGCCGCGTCCTCAGCCTGTGACTGAGATGAGGTCTTTCTTAGGGATGACCGGCTACTATCGCAATTTCGTGAAGAACTATAGCATAGTTGTCGCCCCTTTGCCCGACCTGACTCGCCTTGACACCCCATGGGAGTGGACGGACAAATGCGAGGCTGCTTTCAGACATCTGAAGCATGCGTTGACACATCACGAGGTCTTGAAACTTCCTGATCCTGACAAGCCATTTGTAGTAACTACGAATGCTAGCCATATGGCATAGGCACCGTACTTGCGCAGCAGGAGGGGAAGAAGTTGAGGCCAGTAGAGTACAGGTCCAAAAAGATGCCCTCTCAGAAGTTGGCTAAGTCCACCTATGAGAAGGAACTCTATGCGATCTACAAGGCGCTCACCGATTGGAGACACTATCTCCTTGGGAGGTTCTTCTACTTCAGGACTGATCACCAGACCCTGAAGTGGATGAGAACCCAGCCTGTGCTCTCTGACGCTTTGAAGCGTTGGATTGAAGTCATAAAGCAGTATGACTTTGAGCCCCAGTACATCAAGGCGAGTACAACAAGGTTGTTGATGCGCTGTCGCGTAGACCATATTTCTCTGGTGCGCTGATCACCGAGTTTGGGCTTGCGGACGATGTTACTCAATCTATGGTGGAAGCCTATCCAAGGATCAGTTTATGTCTGAGATCATACACAAACTTGAGGCGAAGGACAAGGTGACTTCTGCCGAGTTTGAGTTGGTCAACGGACTGTTATTCCTTGAGAAGGAAGGGAATAAACGTCTGTGTGTACCGGATAGAGAGTCTTTGCGTAGTTTATTTTTATGAGAGTGTCATGATGCCACCGACCATTTTGGTTTCAAGAAGATTGCAGCCAATTTGTTGCAGCGGTTCTGGTGGCCCACGATGATGAGAGATGCTAAGTTGTACGTGGAGACTTGTCAGGTCTGTCAGAGAGACAAGCCCCATACACAGGCCCCTCTTGGGCTCCTCAAGCCCCTTCCGATTCCGGAAAGGCCTGGTGAGAGCCTATCCATGGACTTCATGGATACGCTGGTAACCAGCAAGAGCGGAATGAGACACATCTTTGTTATCGTGGATAGGTTTAGTAAGTACGCTAGGTTAGTTGCAATGTCGGAGACAACTAAGACTGAGCATGTGATTAAGCTGCTCAAAGAGAACTAGGTTAGAGATTTTGGATGGCAAAGTCTATAGTCAGTGACCGCGATGTGCGATTCAGAACTGAACTGTCGAAAGCCGCAGCTGCAGAACAGGGAACGTAGCTGCAGATGACATCAGGAAACCATCCGGAGGCGAATGGACAAGCAAAACAGTTGAACCGCGCTGTACAACACCTGCTGAGGCATTACATCAAGCCAAATCAGGTAGATTGGGATGAGAAACTTGCTCTCATTGCCAGCCTGTACAACAATGCGATCCACAGTGCAACGGGCATGAATCCGAATAGTCTGCTATTAACTTTTAAGCCTAGACTGCCCTTGGATTTCTTACTACCTGAGAACCAGCCCCCTGCTGCACCTGGGACTTTAGAGTTTGTTTATCGATATGAGCAGCTGATGCAGCAGGCTGTTGAGCAGATGCACAAAGCACAGGCGGTGATGATAGAATCCGAAAACAAACACCGCCGCCCATCCATGTTTCAGGTAGGAGAAAGAGTCTGGGTCAAGTCCTCAGAACTGGGACAGGAGCACGGGATCTCCCGCAAGCTCATGCCACAGTACTTTGGACCATGGGAGATTCTGGATGTTGTTGGGAACGAACCAGATGGGCCGTCTTATGTTGTTCGTATCCCTGGTCACTTATGCACTTACCCTGTTTTCCACGCCTCAAAGCTTGCACCTTTTAAGGAAACAGATCAGTTTCCATCTTGTCGCTCAATGCTGCCCCCAACCATGGATGGAGAGGTCGACATCGATGATATTGTTGACCATTGGGAGATGCCAGTTTCAAGACTAACAGGCAGAGGACGTCCTCCGAAACCGAAGCTGCAGTATCGAGTTCGGTTCAGACATCACACTGATCCAAAGGAGGACAGATGGTTCACAAGGGAGGAACTGATGCAGACCGCTCCACAGGTAGTTGCCCACTATGAGACGTCTTTACGGAAAGGAAAGCGCCAGATTATCGAAGACTGAACTTCTCAGAGGACTAGCGAAGTATGGAGGAGGGAATGCGAGGCACAAGGCCTCGATAAGCCCCACTGGGCCCTATTTGCAACAGCGTCGGCCGCCCTAAGTGAAGGCAGGCCCGACAGACCCTCAGAGGCCTATTTTGGACTACTTCGCAACTGGGGAAAATTCAGGCAGTTGCGCTGCGCCAGTTGGTTGGAAGCGCCCAGGCCCTGGCTTCCTTTATCAAATGCATCTGAGTCAGGCCCTGGGCGAGATTCGCAGCATAGGCCCAACTCAGGTTGCAGGCAGTTGGGCACAGGTAACTGTCAGCAGCCCTGGGCCAATTCGTTTGATCTGGGCCTCAGCCTACTGGGGCCTACCGGAAGCTTCTTGGGAAAGGCCCAGCGCAGCTTGGGACAGAACGCAGGCAGGCCACTTCCATATAGCGAAGGGCCTGCATCCGCATTGGACATTCGGGTGCTGGCTGCATGCTGCGCAAGCGCTGCTGCGCTGAAGCTGGCTAGCGCTCACTCGCTCACGGGCGAGCTGGAAGGAGCAGGCAGCCATAGCCAAGCTGCGCTGCTGGGAGCTGGGTGAGGTGCAGGGTGGTCTTTGGGTGCAAGTGGCATCTGTGAGTTGGGGAACGGGGTTGTGAGTGATACGAGAGACATACCTGGTGCTAGAAGCGACGGCATTGTCCGAGATCTGCGCGTACTTCGGTGAAGCTGTTGACGTCATCCGGCGGCATTGTAGAATAGGCTAGATAGGATCTGCCATCTGTAGTCTGGGCGCCGAGTGCCAGATAGGATATCAACATTGGTTCTTCATTGATGATGATGATGAGACTATACCAGCATTGTCAATTATGAGCTCTTGGTGTGTTCTTATTTGGTGAAACTCGTGATGCAATTCTGCTGTGGTTCAAGGTCACAACTATCTGGTCTTGTATGTATGATGCTGTTTGATTTCTGAAGTTTGCTATCGCTCATCTTCCTTGCACCTGTCGTTGATTTCGGAAAAAAAGAAAAAGGAAACCCTTTGGGAGAATTTGGACATCGTAGTATATGTACACATACATCCTCTCACCTGATCACGAGGAGCATCTGGAATCGAGTTAGCTGACCCTTCCATCGGCCCGGCAGATCCACTCGGTGCGGATATGCGGCCTCTGCAAAGGCTTTCCACCTGTTCGGACTCGCTGTGATTTCCTCTGCCAGTCTGCTCAGCTTGGGTCGCCCGAGGGCGGACAACTTGCAGATTTCACTCCACGCCTTCGCAGAAAGCCAATGGGGAGCTGGGTTGGGCATCACCATCTCCCCACCACCACCTCCCTGCTGCTGCAGCGAGTTATTACGACCCCCTGCACTGGTGTTTTGTCCTGCCCCACCCCTGGTGGTGCCTCCTTCGGATGACGCTCGCCCTTTCTCTGCGGAAGGCATGTCACGGTTGCGCTCACGGTGGTTGTCATCTCCACTCACAAGGGTTGAACTTCCCCTTTGTCCCGACCATGATTCTTCTCCCAGCCGCCTGTTGTTGTTGTCTTCTGTGATCGTCCGCCTTCTTAGCGGCAGCACCTCCTTCGCCCTTGTGTCATCCATAGCCACAGCACTTCCGGTGAGCAGAAACCGTAGCTCGGATCTGTTGAGCCCACCAGGCTCGCACCAGGACTCTTCCCCATCGCTTGTTGGTGAATTCAGCCTGGCATCGCAGACGCTGCAGGCTGTTGCAGAGGAGCATGGCCTACTGCTGCTGCTGCTGCGGCGGCGGCGGCCGCCGGCGAAGTCAAGGTTCTGTGTGAAAGAGGGAGAGGAGGATGAGAGGGTTGAGAGAGTGGAGGGAGGAGAGTGGTGCACGGGGCAGTTGGACGAGCCCGTGTCAGAGAGATGTGCAATGCTCAGCATGAATCCGAACAGAAGCTTTGATCTCTCAAAGAGCGACCGGCATACCGACTGGCAAAGATGGCAGATAAAGTGAGAGAGCAAGATGTGCAACCGCTGATCAAGATTCAGCGAGCGCTCTGTTGAGTGGATGGAATGCATGAAGAGCCCGATGTACCTGACAGTGAGCGCAAGCATCAGGTTCATCACCACACAATGTCATGACATGAAGACATTCACCATGATTTGCTTGCTGTTAGCACAAATTGTCAATGATGTTGTCGGTAATGCTGATTATAATATGTTGATGCAGGAAGGCAGTCACGCACCCCCCCCCCCCCCCCCCCCCCCCCCACACACAGTGCCCCCCCCCCCCCCCCCCCTCACACACACACACAGTGTCACGCACACGCGCGCGCACACACACACACACACACACACACACACACACACACACACACACACAATCAATTTTATGTATATGTTTCTACTTCTTTTGCATGTCTTGCTTCCTGTTTTTCCCTCTATCTTCCTTCCTTGTATTTATTACTTTCTGTATGTCTAACTAAGCACCTCTAAGCAGTGTCAGATAGTTGGCCATTCCTCGTTTGGAGTGCCTACAGCACTACTCGCGGGGCCACTCACTTCAGGATGTCTGTGTTTTCTATGGGTGATGACCGACGTTCATCGGACTCCATGGCTCAGCAGGTGGTGGGAACCAACAGTCTGTGGGTTTCACTCATGGTGTGGGTAGGTGATGAACTGCTTTTCTCCATGTTGGATGCCTGGACTGCCTTGTCTATGCTCCATGGCTTCCTGGCTGCCTTTCTCCCTTGCTCCCCATGCCGTTCTCCGCAGCTGATGTATTGCCATCTAGTTTGGCTGCATTGTTGGTGTTGCCTTGTGCTTTGCTGCACTTCTGCCTCGTTGCCCATCCGCGTGCGTTGTCTTCCTGCGCACTTTACCTATGGGCTGTGTGGTTTGGCTTTTTGGCACTGTTGCCCTGCACTTCACTGTGTTGTTACCATGTCGGCTGTCCGCTTGTACTGTCGTTCCATGCAGTTAGTTTTGATGTTGTGCAATTGGGTTGCCCTGGCAGCGTTGTGCAATTGGGTGGCATGATGATCCGCGATTACTACCTTGTGCTTCGCTGAATCGTTGTCTGCTGCTATGTTCAGCTTGTGGTGTTGCCTGCTGGCAGTCTGCTTTCAACAAGGGTCAAAGGGTTCATGACCCAAAGCATCAACATGGGGATTACACAGATTATCAAGGATTCAGCCTCCTGACGAGTCGATGCAAGTCCAATGAAACAATCTAATCGTCATCAGTTTTTTTTTTTTTAGTTTTTTTTTTCCGGTAGAAACCGGATCCAGGGTCTCATGAATAAAACAACAATCCCCAGCGTCCCTTGAACATTCTCAAACACACAACTGCTTCCCTCCATTATGGCAAAGGGTTTGTCCTCCTCATCTTAACTCCACAAAATTGCACAAATCAATTTACGACGTTACGGCCATCCTCTGATGCAGTACATGGTTCAAACCAGAAGACCCCACCTATCACAACAGCCGCTAACTGCACCAGCTGGCAACAAACTGTAAGGAGCCTCAGATGCAATGGGCCACACCACTAAACCTTAAATCCTATTCGGAAACCCTAAGCCCTAAACCCTCAACCCTCAACCTGAACTTAAACCAGACTGGCTCCAACAACACACAGTAAAAACATGAATCCTAACTATGGATGCAACTCAGCATAGAATGTTGCCTACGGTCTGGGACTCTGACTGGGCAATCGAGCCGACAATCTGTATCTCCTGCTTCAACTGCAAGAAGCAAATGATAAAAAGCCACATGCACGGTGAGGAAGGACCAAGACATCTTTCTGGTTTTTTCAGTTTTGCTTTGTTTCCATATCCACTCCTTAGGATCAAATTCGAGCTCCGTTATGCTGAGGCCAGGCTGGAAGATTATCCATGGTTTGGTTTTTGTTACCCTCACTTTTCGAAGAAGGAAGGACTCTATCATCGCAAGCAAAGGTTCTCTGTTGAGAATGGCTAGTTCCTGGAGGTTGTGATTGGCGATGGGATAGGAGTAGAAGTTGGAAAGGTAGCCGGTGGCTGAGGTGCTGGATGCGAACCGGTATGCTCTGTTCGGTGAAGTTTGGGATATGAGTATACCCCAGTCCCCTGGTTTCCAGGAGAAGTCTTCTTTCAAGAGGTGGAGCCAAGGGGGTGGGATGCTCTTCTGGATTGAACTTAGGTTGTCTGCGAGAGCGTGACATCCTTGGATTGAGCCAAGGGGGTGCGAGTTCTTCTGCCCACAGGTGTTTTACCTGCCACAGTGCAGCCACACCCCTTTTTCAACCCACGACAGAGATCTTCGGTCCTTCGTCCTTAGTGACCAGGGACTACCCTTGGGGTCTTTGATCCACTCGTTGCAAAACAGCGGTTGTCTCAGGGCCTCTTCTTTGTTCTCTGCCATGCCACGTTTGCTTGGCATCATACGTCGCCAGGTTTTCAGAGTCGGCGTCCAGTACAGGTTGGGTGTTGGGGCTGCCTGGTTGACTGAGTTACGAGTGGTGTTTTTTGCGGGGTCTGCTTGATCTTATCGTGCCATAATCCAGAAGTAGCCGCTCATGTTCGGTGGGGAGCTTATCGGTGCTAGGTTTCTTATGCTGTCTAGAGCCATCTTGGTCCATGGTAGGTATTGTCTGGTCAGGATCTTGATGATCCGTTTCATCTGTAGTGCTGTTGATTCTTGCTTGGGGTCGATTAGCCCTAGGCCTCCCTCCTGCGGTGATGGACTACGATGTCCAATTATTTCTATACAACCTAGGCCTACTGACCACGGATCCCAACCCCAAACTTGAAGACAGATGGAGAGAGACACTGAGCCTAGAGCCTACAGCCTCGATATCCATCCCCTGGACAAAATACCTCCCCATCAGACAAGCTAGAATCCGTAGCTTACAGTGGCTCCTAGCCCATGCAGCACTCCCTGTCAACCAGTGGCTCCACAAAAGAAGAAAACACTTGGATCCCGACAGCTCTGAACTATGCGTAATGTGCGATGACAACGTCCCTGAAGACATCCCCCACTGCCTCCTCTACTGCAGCCAGGCCGCTTGGATATGGAACAAAGGCCGAAACCTGTGGTCCCACCTCTTCTCATCCCCTCCCCCCAACCTCACCCCTCTGAACATCCTACTTCTATCTAACATCCCCAACAGCCTCAGAAGTGGAAAAGCGGTCTGGTTCCACATGATAAGGAAAATAGCCCTGTGGGTCATATGGAAAAGGAGATGTACCAGGACAATCGAGGGTTCAGAAGTGGCCAAGGAGGAAATGTGGAACCTGCTGCTGAGGATGGTGGAAACAGAGATCCGATGCAAATGGAGGAATATATCGAGAGGCAAACCTGAAAGACTCGCACTCAGGAGACGAATCTTCATGAGAGACTGGTTGCTACAGGGGAAGATCGCGACAGTCTCTGACAACAAGTTACACTGGAAGAAATGGGCCACTACAACAACAACAAGGATTGTAGCCCCAAGAGGGACAAATTGAGGTTCAAGCCTCGGGCAGATAAACATCTCTCCCGGTTTTCCAGTGCTTCAATACCTATTCGACTGAACCAACAGGGTATCTGAGAGGAAAGCTAGGGTAGGGCAAGCTGACAGTCAATCCTCCCATACAGGAGTAATCAATGCTGGTCAGGGTTCCTTCGGCCAGACGGAAGGAAGCGTGGGTGTGTACTATGTTGTAGTCAATCTTGACTTGCCGGGGGAATAGGAACCGGACTGACGCTCCCCAGAATTGACACGGAGCCAGGGCCATAAGACATCTGCTATAGCCATGCATGAGCACAAAAAATATAGCGCTCGACAAAGTTTTCATCAATAATTCTACGATGTAGATGTTCCTCCAGCACAAAGTACATACTCCTCGATGACAAAGTAGGTATCCCTCAACCACAACACAGTAGATATTCCAGAAGTCTCCCAGCCCACACCAGGCAGGGCATGTTCAGCCAGGCCCCCATCCCTATTGCCTCAGACAGGCCTGGCACCATCCATCCCGGGTACAGCACAGCAGCCAAGAACAGTGATGGTGGGTGACCGACGACCATAGCCAGATTCCAGAAGTTTCTCTCCAGGGAAAACGGGCAGTGCAGTTCAGGAGTACGTCACACAGGCTGGTGACCTCCTTCACAGGTCAGAGTTTCAGCTGGGCGGCCTGTTGCTTCTGTGGACTGCTAAACTGGCTGGCCTCCTCGGCCTCTCCGGCAGTTCCCGACCTGAGTCTGTCCTCGGAAGCTTGTTTGGGACAAGCCCGGTGCTTCTAATGGACCGGCACTTCCACACCTGGCCTTACGATAAGCATGAGTTTGGCAGACTTATCAGTACCGAAAGTTTCAGGCCTCTGTGTGGTAAATTTCCAGACAAATCTTGATCAGACTCAGCTGCACGTACAAACAAGGCCGAGGATCGAACACACAAATTGTTGGGAAAAAACAATCACGTACAAACAAGGCTGAGGGTCGAAGGAGACTGTAGCATGATGGGAAAGAGGCGATCGGCGCTGCACCGGTAAGCGCCAGTGCTAATGTGCGTTACCTCCCATGGCTCGACTCGGAAAGAAACATCGGGAACTTCCTACGCGCGTTCGCACACGCACGATTTTGCACGTGCGAGCTATCGTGCGCCACTGTTCAAACGCGCGTCGAAGGCAACAGGGGGAAAGAGACAATAGCAGTCCTCCACGTGGCACACCATGCCACACCCTTGGGTGTGGCACCATGGCTAAGGCGCGAGTAAAAAGGGGAAGAAGGGGAAGAGTCACTGAAAGGGGCAAGGTAAGGAAAGGACAAAAGGGGGAGAAGGCGAGGAAGATAAAGGGAAGAGTTCCTAAGGGTAAGGCGTGACATCCCAATCCAAAACAAGGAAGAGACAAGCAAGCGAGAGGAACGACGGGAGGAACGGAGGATAGCAGAAGCAAGGGAGACAATCGAATAGGAAACAGTGAAAGAAGATTCCACAAGTGGAATTTGAAGCACGCTAGGACAAACTCGAATCAAGACTGAACGAGGATGTGAGGTAAGATCGTTCATTTACCCCACGACGGCACCAAACCGAGAAGTGGACAGACGGACTAGCGGAGCTCAAGCACGGACCAAGAAACGACACCAAGCAGCCATCACTAGCGAATACTGGAAGTATAGCTAGGACCAGGCATCCTTTTCCCAAAAAGGGAGAACAGACAAGTAGGCGAGCAAAGGTTATCGTTTTTCCGTTCTTATTAATTAAACACGGCAGGATCTACGAGAAAGGGTAAGTAGTTCGCATGTCACTGTTGTACACCATTCCGATCCAGCCCTCTACATTGGCTCATGCCAGGTGGGACAACGCGCTATCAAGAGCATACAGGAGTCGTGGCCAGACCAGACAGCATTCTCTCATCACGACGCAATCTTAGCAGGAGGATAGTCCAGAATAGTCCGATTTGCTACGATCCAAGCAGGAATAGTGCGGAGAACTTGACAACCCACCAACAAACAGGGTCCTAGGTTGCTCAAAGGTCCCACACCGCTCACACAACTCCCCCCATCACTACGCCTCATCATGCAGCCCTCCCCATCCCACACCCCTGTCCCCCCCCCCCCCCCCCCCCCCCCCCCCCCCCCCCCCCCCCTACACTTCCATTCCACACCACCACACAAGACGGCTCCCGTCCCACAGCCCCACAGAAACCCAACCACGCTCCACCCTTCCCTCATTCTCCTCTCAAACCCACCCCCCATTCGTTATTTAGTCAATGCCACCTCCATCTCCCACCCCCACCCCCACCCCCATCCACCTACCGCCTACCCACAATCTCCACTGACCGAACCGCATTTCACAGCATCACCACTCACAACACACCACACCACCTACTTTACACATGCCAGCACCACCACTCCA